TCGCCGCTCAGGGGTGTGCTGCTGGAAGGAGGACGTCTCGGTGGGTTCAGCCTGGACATCATCTTGCTGCTACTTTAAGAGCCTGAGGTTTAAATACGCACGTGGCAAACACCCCAACAGTGTATATTCATATCCCTGAAACGTCACCCAAGGGCTGAGAAAAATACCTGCTCAAGAGAATATTCTCTCAGTTCAAAGAAAACAACCTACCTTGGTTGTAGCTTGGTGAAACAAAACCTGCTCTCCTGTCCGTAAGACGTACCAGACCCACTATGGGAACTGTTCTGATGTTTGCTACGTGTTTAACACCTTTAAAGGAGAGCTTTTTCCAGCTGACAAGCTCAGAAGAAAGTAATATCATTCATTTATTAACGTCTTTAATCCCTTCTATCTTTTTCCCTGCTATTTTGTTTTGTTGTTGATTTTGGAGAGAAAGCTTTTGGAGGGCACTCGAGGCTGTCTCAGCCCCCCCTAGCGGCAGTTACAGCCTCCCCAGGCATTTGGGAGAGAAAAAACAAATTTTAAAAGCAAAATCTTTACAAAAAGCAAACAGTGCCTGCACGAAGATGGATTGAAAATGCCATGCATTTGATAATCCAGGTTGTTGCCATCCCTTAGCAGCTCACGCCAGGAGGGCCCGAGAGGAGGGCTCCTTGCCACCAGGTGGCACTGAGGAACGCAGCAGAAACACCGAATTCCATGATTCTCAACAAATGTGCCGAAAAAGAAGTGAAATCACTTATTTTAAAAGCCTACTAAAAAGCTAACTTTCTGCAGGCAAAAGCAGAGTGACCTGAAAAAGCAGTATGGTGCTGTGTATTTTAAACTTTACTTGCCATCTGTGCACTGCAGAATTTTCTACACACATGTCAAGAGATGTATGTTTTTATGTTTTTAACAGGTTAGTGCACTGTCTGGATATTAGAGAGGCACAAATTAAACTAAATCTTAGAGCATCTTGGCTCCTGCTTTCCTGTCCTCATCTTGATCTCTTCCGCCAGTGCCTCTTTACTACCTGTGGCATGATTTACCTCTGCATTAAGGGTTAAACCCTGTGAGGTGCTAAGTACCAACAAACCCTACTAGATTCAGAAAAAAGACTTGACACAGCACCTCCTGGGGTTTGGGCCAAAGGGTCCTACAAAGATTTCCTACATAAAAGGCTAAGTTCATATTCTGTAACCTCCCTTCTCATCTAATCACTAAATTAGAGAGGCGAGGAGGGGGGGGAAAGCAAAGAGAACAAAGGGGAAGAACCGCACTCTGTCCTTCAAAATTAATCCCATCAACTCTCTCTTGTCACAGACAAGAAATCCCTCACCACAACGGAGTGTGTGGTTCTTGCTCTCCCTGCCCAGACCATGCAGCAGGGGGGACGGCAGAAACACGGCCAGGTCATCCACTGCAGCTGAGGGCAGAAAGCTGTGAGCTCCCTCATTGAAAAACACTGCCCACGGTTGGGGGTATCACCAGTCTGAGTATCACCAGTCCCTCACCCAAGGGCCCTACAGTGCTTGAGCAGAAACATGGTCCTGATAGCGCTGCCAGCTGGGTGAATCTCAGCACCATCTCTGCTCTAGATCATCTGCAAATAAGGCGCATTTAATGGGCAATTTTTTTGGTAGAATCTGGAGGTGACCAAGCTGCACGGAGGCTTGGGAGCCTGCCTTAAGCAAAGGGAGGCCCAGGGCCTGCTAGGCAGCACCCAAGGCTGGAGGGAAGGGAGGTTATCTTGGCAAGCCCAGTCATTTTGCAGCTCCTACTTCATCTTCCTAGCACACTTGCAGGCACCAGACTTCTCCATCCAAGTTCCCACTGAGTGATCCAAGTGATGATCCAAGGTTATTTGTTTGCTCTTGTTACAGCTCCCATCAACTGCAATCCACAGCCCATCTAGCTTAATTATACTTTCCTCTCAACATCCCTGTCTCAACTCATTCAAGGAGAGCACCTCAGACATGCAACAACAGTTCATCCGCACAGTTCCATGAAAGCAAACAAACAAGCAAAGGAGGAAGAGAAAACCACAGCCAGAGCCAAGTATCTAATGTTACAGAACTTCCCTGTCGGACAAACCCTCCAGTCCTTACCTCTGTAATGAAGAGGATGCACTCCAGGAACATGAAGTCCTTATGGTTTTCGTTTACCACCTTCTCATCAACAAAGTGTCGAGGCTCCAGATTTGGATGGTCTAAAAAGAGTAAGAGACAATAGGAAGTAACCTGTGTGGCACCCCGCTTCTGAGACCAAGTTGTCCTGCCCCTCTTCCAGAAGAAACACAATCCTCCCATCACAGCTCTTCAGAAGTCAGCACAGAGCTGCTCCCTTCCATCTCATCTCCCACTCCAGTGCCTCAGCAGTGAGAGCACCTGGTAAACTCCCCAGGGTAGAAAATGTGTTTTCTAGACACCAAAAACAAGACTCTCATTTTAAAAAGCTTGTAGTTATTGCAATAAAGACAGATATACTGTACAAGGAAGCCTTCCATCTCCCAACCCAAGCAACTAGCTTTATTTGCAAAGCTGAGGGGAAAAAAAAAAAATCCAAACTCCAAGCAAACTCTTCTGCTGTATTATACAGATATTTGACATATTTGAATTTAAAAGTCAGTCCCAAGCCCCATCATCTTTGCAACCTAGACAGACGGGGCAGGGGGCAGGCTGGGACACGAGAAGATTTTTATTAGTACCTATCAGCTGGGAACTGCCCCATATGAAAGGTAGAAATTGGAAGTCATCCAAGCCCCACACGCCCTGGCTGCCAGCAGGTTCCATCCTGTAGGTCTTCTGAAGTTTTCGCATCACTTCTAGGTACCTGAGACCAAAGAGAGAAGGAAAGGTTAAGACAAGGCCTTCTTCTGTCTTCATTGACTTACATGAGGACAAGAACAACCAGTTTGGATAAAGACACAACTTTATCACTTGCAAGCAGGACCCCCACATACAGCACATAGTACACTGAATATATATTCAGCTCCTTTGTCACAGAAAGCAGCCTGATGGTAGGTATAGTAGCAAATAACAGCACCTTTTAAAAATTGGGGTTTTTCACACCAAATTCACTAAGAAAGCAAGTAGCAGGGATTTACTTTATCTGCTGTGTCTTATATTGGTGCAGATCTTTCCCCACCCCCACTGTTATTTGAAAACATTGATACATCACTCTCCTTCAACAACTTCCAAAAGAGCTCAGAAATCCTTCCACCTTACGGCAATCGCTACTTTCAGTTTTCAGGTGGAAAATTAAAGCTGGAAGTACTGTTGAAGGAAACTGTTTCCATGCCACCAAACAGTGATACAGCTGGGATTAGATCTCTGGACTCCAAACACCCATTCCACCAGTTTCATCAGTACCAACTCTACCTCCTGGGCTGGAAACACATCTAGAGGAGCAGTGGAGGCTTGCCAGTTTCATAGATTTTTTTTTTTTTTTTAATGCCTGAAGAGATTTTAGATCTTACGATCAGATATTCCTGTCTATCAGAAAGCACAGAGCTTCACCCACATACCTCTGCAGAGCTCAATAACTTGTGCTCAACTAAAGCAACGTTTCAGAAAGACACTCAGCCTCTAACAGACAAGGTGCTATCACCTCTTTTGGAGACAGTTATAATGGGTCACCGTACAGTCTATTAAAAAGTACATCTGCCTCCTAATTTTGTCTAAATTTGTCTTCAGTATTGCCATTCTGCCCTTTTTCGCTAGGCCAGCAAGCCCTATAGCACTCAAGTTCTCTAATTGTGTACACGTCTTTGTAGAAGGCCCTTGATTTGCCCAGCTCACAGTCCAGGAGGAGGCTCTTCTTACAATTTCTCACTCCCAGATGGGTGCGGATGAGTGGAAGAAAGGGGGCACCATCAGCCCAGACTATAGACAGGAGGAGTCTGGTGTACAGAACAGGCAATAACGTCTCACACATCTCAGATAGCTGGAAGTGGACACTGTCAGAGTTCTGCCCCCAAACAGCCCAATGCTTCCAGCCCTTCTCCTTCGATTACCTCACCTGTTAAATACTTTAAAGACAATGGCCATCTGGTCATCCACTCTGAGCACACCGATTTTGCAGAGGCAGCAGAGAAAAGCTGCAAATGCAGCTTCGTGCCCTGGAGTTGAAAGAGATAAAGAGATGTGACACTGGTGTCTCTGGTCCCTAAGACAACCTTTCTGTGGGCACCACAACGAAATCTCTTCAGAAATCACAGCAGCCACATTCCCCGTGTCAAGAACCCCAGCCAGCTGTCCCTAGGTGCTACCTCATCCTATTAATGACATAGGCTGACAATATTTCATCCCCACACAGCACCCACCCAAAGCATACCCTCTAGACATTCATAAGGTGATTATTAACTCCGAGAAAAAAAAAAAAGTTCTTGAGGAAAAACAGCTCCAACACTGGGTGTGCTGGGAGCAAGGCAGGGCCTCTCCCAAGAGCTTGGCACAGCAGGGGAAGTGGAGCACCGCAGAGTTGTCTGCTCAGGGGATGCAAGCGAACCTCACATCTGCAAGTAAACAGATTTCCTCCTGCTTCAAAAATATCTGTGTCGGAAGGATGCAGATCCCATGATGCTGCCAGGAACAGTCTGTCCTAGAAGGTACTGGGATCTCAGGCTGAGCCTCTGCAGCTTGGTCCTCCAGCTAACAGCAAGGAAAAGAAACAACCAGCAAAACCAGAGCAATGACTTTTAGTAGAAGGGACCACAGAAGAAGGAAGGGTACAAGATCAGCAGCTCCACGCTATGAAGTGCGGCTCCCAGTGTAGGAACAAAGTGCACCTATGGTCAAGTCACTGTGAACTAGGACACTGGCCACTGGCTTGGGACACACAGGAGGGGAGGAAAGGCTGAATTTCCTTCCCCGAGCTGACAAAACCCCAGCCAGCGGGTCCCTTTCCAAAGACAACATCTCCCCCTGGTGCCGGCGAGCCGCAGCTCTCCTGGCAAGCACTGCTCAGCCTCTAGCTCTTCATCCTTTTACCCACATCCTCCTCTTCTGCCAGCCCAGGTCCAAAGTCGCGTTTCCTTGCACCCACAGTGTCTTGCTCTCCTGCCTTTTATGAGGACACTCTCCTCAGCGCACCACCTGCCCTCCAGACAGAGGAGCAGAGCATGTAGACGATTCTGGATTTAAGTCTAACTGAAGCCAGCGTTGTTACTCCAATCTGCAATTCAGTGTCTTCTTAGGTGCAAAATGCTTCTACCTTCAGATTTCAGAGCCCCTCTGGAGCAGTGATGCCACTTCTAGGGAGCACCAGACCTCAAGCCACCTCCCACTAAACACAAACGTGGTTCCCATTCTAGTTCCAATTCAAGTAATTATGTTTTATCCCTCTAACCTGCCTATTGCAAGTCAGCCATGCAGGACTGCTGTAGGCAGTAAAGCAGCTCCTACAGCTTATCCCAGAATGGCTTGCACAGCTTGGTTCACATTTCCTCGGATGACACATGAAAAGGGTGTCATAGCTCCAGCACAGCCCTGCTGCCAGCCCCAGCTCTCTCAGTCACAGCCCACACTGGACGTAGGGGTGAGGAGGCTGCAGAAGGAAGGCGTTTGTATCAAGCTGGCACTAAAAAACAGTGGCAATAACATTTAAATAAATGCAGCACCAGGCTCCAAAGGGTCACTATCCGAGGAAGTCAAGTCTCAACCAGCGTGCATGCCCAGGTACCTGTGCCATAGTCAATGCGAGTGGAGTTCCCCACAGACTCCTTCAGGTACACGGCCACTTCTGGTGCAGTGTCAGCCAAATGCTTGGGGATCACTGTTGCCACCAACTTTTCTGCTTCCTGAAAGACACAAAAGACTCCCTCAAGTGAGTGCATATCTGTCACAGTCCCAGGAGCAAGTCGCCTTCTGCTCAGACACTGTTGCAGAGTGGGAGCTGCAATGGTGCACTCCTACAATGGCCAGAACCAGCATGACAGAGGAGCAAATTCTCCTTGAAGTCATCTCCAGAGATGGAGCAATTCAGGGAGAGCTTGTCCTGACACTTATCCAGGCCACATGCATCCTGTAGGAAAAAAAAGCTTCACCATCCAAGTACATCAACCCAGTTACCCACCGAGTCATCTCCAGGACAAAAGCATTAATAGAGCAGCAGACCACCTGCAAGCTCATTGCTGCTGGGACTGTGCCTGTGCCACCTCCAGAGCTCGGTGCAGGGCAACTGCTCTGATCTGAAGGAAGTCGAGCAGTTTCACAACCTTGCTCTGATTTTGTGAGTTACCCATCAGCTAGCAGACACAGCGGGCAGTTACAAAGCAAAGGAGTTCGTTGGGCTTGGAGGGCCCTCACGGAACATCCAGGACTTGGGAGACCCAGCCAAGAGCATTCACATGGATCATATGCTCTCCTAAGAGGAGGAGACAGCACCACAGCAGGGGTAAGTAATGCATATCAAGAGGTGGAGCAGTTCCTCTGTAGGCTGCTTGGCTGCCACACAATGGTGGAGCCATTCTGCTACCCCTGCTGGGCACACTGCCCTTCTGTAGGAGCTGCATGTAACACTACACGTGAAAGACATGCTCACCTGGTCTAATTTGGCGTACCAGGTCCTGAAGGCTTTGTTCCCAAAGCGAGAAGGTTGATCCACTGGCGGGGTTTCATCGATCCATCTGTCAAGGGTGTTCAGAAGAGCCACCAGCTTCTCAATGGGCTACAGAGACAAAGAGATGAGGGGTCACGGTCACATAAAACACAGCAGTCCCTCAGGCTCCAACATCTCTGCCCTGGATTGGAGTCATGAAAGCCCACACCATCCTTCCTAAGGGTGGCAAGCAGAAACGGGATGTGCCAATCCTCCCTGAAAAGCAGAGGGGCTGGGAAAACGGTCCTTCCCCTCAGAAGATCAGTCCAGTACAAAGCCCAGCCTGAGGCAGACTCTCCAGTCGCCCACACAGTCTTTCATGAGCTGTAACAGCACTATGCTCTAAAACCTCTGGGAGAAGAGCTACAGCAAGCCCCTCGCTGTAGGGCATACAGGACTGAGAAGCAGAGCAGTGCTACACAATTCACGGACCTCCAACACAAAACTCAGGCTCTGCATCTTGAGGGTCCTGCATCCCCACGGGATACAGCACAGCACTTACCGTGTACCCTCACCAGCAGCTGATGATGTGGTTTAGAGGCCCTTCTCAAGGCCTCTAATCTTTGTCCTGAAGTGTCTCTTAGGAGCCAGGATTAGCAGTGATGGCGTTAGCGTTTGTACAGCAGGGCCTAATCGCAAGTCAACCTTCTCAGCCTGATTCCTGTTGCTTCAAACTCATGCCAGCCAGACTGCTACGGCAGATCCAACCCAGGGATACCCAGTGCACGTGGCAAAATACAACCTACCCAGGGGAAGAGGCAGCCTGGTTTGCCCATCAGTGGTCTCCTCAGAGCAAGCATGAGAAGCTCTTGGCTCTCAGAGAAATGTCTCAATACAAACACAAAGCTCATGGGAAGACAAATGCAACAGCAAGACAACAGAGCCATCTTTCTTACACCTAGTGCTGGAAGGAGAAAGTGAGGAACCTGTATAGGATGTATGAGAGTGATTGGAGGAGGCACTGCTGGTGGCCATAAAGGAAAAGAAGAGAGTTGCAACAGGCCATACAGCACGATATCTCAAGTTGTACTCTTAGGACCAGGGCTGGCCAATGCACACAGCCTCCTCGCTGCCTTGCCCATACAGCTGGGGAACGGCTACACCCCACGCACCAAGAGGGGGGCAGCACTTTAAGCAGCTCCAAACAGTTTTAGGAGGCTCTGCCGACAACTGGTCAAGCCTGCCAGAGGCTTTGGGATTCTCCTCACCCGACTCCAAGCAGCCGGAGAGCCATCAGCCGCCACAGCAGCTGGCCAGGCCCCGGGCAATGTAGGCTCCTCTGTCTCAAGAGGGGATTCCTCCTTCAAGGGGACAAAGAGGACAGCAGAAGCAGCGGCTGGTTTGACTTTGCTGGAGGCATCGACCGTGTGAAGCCGGCTGGTCTCCTGGGCTGTGGTTCAATTCTTCACGCTGCCTGCCGGGAGGACGAGGAAACAACCAAGCCCAGCAAGTTTCTAGCCCTTGAAGTGCCACTCGAAGGGGGCGGGTGGAGAGAGAGGCATGGCAGAGCCGTGCTGTCACCGAACCAGCTGTGGATCGCTCCCCATGCCCTCCGCTCCCAGGAGGAAGGGTCTCATGGCAGACACAGCCTCCCACAGACAGCAGCTCCTCAGGAGACGAGGATATGGTGGGATCAGCCAGCGGGAAGCAGGATCAGGCAGGGGAGGGATCCATCCACCCCACGGGACCTTGACACTTGCCCAGGCTAGAGGCTGGGATAGAGGACAAGACCTGAGCACACCAGGAACACATAAGACCCAAGAGACATGGGGGGCCAGAAGCTCCGGGTGCCCTGGTGAGGCTGCAAGCTGGAGCCACTAACGGGCCAGTGCCCCAGATTCATACGGACGGAGGCAGCGTGACTGCCTCTGCGTCAGCTCCCTGCTGCCTGAAACGCTGCAGAAACCTGGTGTCTCCCCACTGCACCGGGCCAGGTTTGGACTCAGCTCTACTTCTTCCTGGCTATTGCATTCCCCTCCAATTAAGCAACAGCGTCCCCAGCACTGGGTTGCATTAAATAATTAAATCGTGCTGGTGATTTATCTGCCGGCACCAGCAGCTCATTATGAGCAGCTACCGTATTTCAAACCCCTCTCAGCGAGCACTCAGTGCTGCCTGGATAAATGGCTGGCAAGGACCGGCTCCTTCCCCCTCCCCAGATCTGCCCGCAGGCCTTGGGGAACGCGAGAGTCGAACCTCCCCTTCCCCACTCGCTTGCTTTAAAGGGATTAAAAAGCCCAACCCCAGTGAACATGGGAGAGCAGGACCCAGCTGCCAGCTCAGCCATGCCAATAAATAATTAAAGAGATGCGGCTCGCTTTGGGCTCAAGGCCCTTTGAAAAGGGGGTTACTAAAAGAAGCAGCTTCCCATTGTCCAGCAGAGGAAACTTGTGCATCCAGGGCTGACCCCAGCAGGGGAGAAAGAGGGAATTACGGGAACACAACCATCAGCACCACTGCAGCCTTGTTTTGCCTGGCTGGGTTTTTAAGCTCTATTTTTGCTTTACCTTTCCAGTGATCAAAGCAAGGGCAGCCTCCCCCCTGCTCTCCTTGCTCTTCTCGTTGTGCTGATTTTGCATCCCCTTGACCCTGAGTCTGCCACCAGTCCCAAAGGCAAACCACAGAGCCTCCTACAGAGCAGAGACCTGTCAGCATCTCTCAAGAGCAGGGGCCAGGCAGATGGAAGTGCTGAGAAGGCATCATGGCAGCCAAAGCTGCCCGCGGGGACCAAGCCTGCCCCTGTGGGCTCCTTGGGCCCTGTCGGAGGGGGGAGCTGCTAAAATCGGGGCATTTGCTCTTTCCCCGCTTCCATCCTGGAACCGGAGCAAGCCCCAAGGCCAGCCAGTTTCCCCCAGTGCAGCAGGCTGTTTGAAGGGAAGGTCTGCTCCTCGCACGGCCAAAATTAACCTCCTCCTTGCTGCACTGCTCTCTGATCAAAGACACGGCTTTGAAAAACTGCTCCAGGCTGCAGCCCCAGCAGTCGCTGCATGGATCCCCACATGAAAAGCACTCCCTCCAGGAGGAGAAGGCAGGTCACAGCCTATCAGTCATACAACCTTGTGCCAGACATAGTGTCTACGCCAGAGTCCTAAACAACAGCTCAGCTATCACTACTTGTCAGATGCCTCCAGCAAAACCCCAGACAGCTCCATGCAATTTTTCAGTAAGAGCAGAGCAAGCTCAGCAAGTCTCAGAAGGGGCTCAGCCCCCAAAGGATCCAGCTCTCGCTCCAGCAGACAGTTTGGTATCGACACACACTACTCTGGAAACCATTAAGCCGCCTCTTTCAAAGCAGAGCAGACCATACTTTCTTTTTTTTTCCACGGCAAAGCAATCAGTAAGTCATGGAGAGGATACACATTCAGCAGAAAGGATTCCAGGAGGTCATTTGCTAAAGGCAGGTGTCCCCAGCATTTGATCAGGGAGGAAGATGGGACGGCACAAAAATACATCAGCAGCAGGTACGGCAAAAGAGAAGAAAGCAGAGCAGAGATGCAAGCAAAGGCCACAAGGGGCTGAGCCTTTAAAAGCACAGATAAGCAGTTTGATCTACAAACGAACCCACGTGAACAGGCAACCTCATCAACAAGACAACCCTGGGGATGCTCCACCTGTGCCTCAACTCACAGACTTCTGCTCTCCTTCAGCGCGAGGGGAATGAGACACGTTCCCTGCCACTTCCCAAGCAGTCAGGATCCTGTCTGGTTTGTCACCTGGACTGGGACTGCAGATGGAAAACATTCACTCCAAGAGGGATCTGCTGCACGGACACAGCCCTGATACAGTTTTTCCTAGATAGCTGACAGCTCAAAGGGGTTGGTGGAAGAGGGGTTTTTTTTCCCCCCCCCTTTGTTTTGCTCATTTTTAATGCTTTGTTTGCCTAGAACTGCTCTATGAATGGTTGGGAACAAGCGAGATCATGACAAAGAGATCATGAGAAAGACAAAACTCAAAGATGAAATGCAAACAGTGGAAAGCAAGAGCAGCATTTGACAGCAGTTTCTACTGAATTGAAGGAACAAAAGGTGGATACAAAGCTGGTTAGGGAGGGACTCATTATCCCTGATCCCCCCCATGAACTACAAGCAAGTTTCTCATTCACACACTGGCTCCTAGAAGGGAAGGCTGGACTTAACATGCCTGCTTCAAACATAAAAGACTAGGTTAAAGACCACGGTAGGCTGCCTTCCCACACCAGAATGAAGCTATAAACACACAGGGGCCAGTCTGCTTCCCACTCTGCCTCGATCTTTTTAGACTATTCCCAGCTTTCTTGCACAGCCACAATAAGTTTGGACAGTAAAAATGTACCCAAGAATCTCCTCATTGCAATGGAGAACAAGGGAGGGGGATCCAGCGTGCAACTCTGAAGCAAAGCTGGTGGCCAACATACGCTCTGCAGATCACAGCAGTGCCCAGAGAGAGCTCGGGCCAGCCCTGAGCACAGCTGAGGCCAGGCAGTAACACCACCGAGGATGCCTGCCCTTCCCCTCTGGCTCCAGACGATCTCGCCATGTCCTGATAAGGTGAACAGGCATTAAAACCGGCCACGGCAGCAGACAGAACCGGGTGACAGTCACATTAATTCCAGGGGAAAAATAGGTCCTTTCTGCTTAACACCTCGGAAGGGGCGATCCTTTAGCCCCACAGGCTAAACCCTGCTCCCCAGCCCAGCCCTCCTGCGTGCTCTGCAGCCCCCCGTAGCCCTCAGCACAACCCTTGGTGAGGCAGGTCCCCTCCATAACATGCCTTGAGCTCGCACACTGCCAAACCAGACCTCGCACAGCTCAGCTACAGTGTGGGCCGAGGAAATGGGTGCTGTTAACACAGTCTGAGCAACACGGAAGCCCAGGGACAGGGAGACAAGTGGCTTGCCCAAGGTCCCACAGAAAGGCCAGTGGGAGAACAGGAACGGTACAGACATCTCAGCCTTTTGCCTGCAACCAGGAGGGAATACCTTCAAAACATCACTGGTTGAAGCCAGACAGTGAAAACAGAGTCAAAACGCTTCCTTTCTGCATCCTCCTTTTCACCACCAGCTTCTGCCCACCTGTAACTTGCTTGATTTCCCATCCAGCGAGCACACACACAGCCTCTGCATCCTGGGGGGCGGACTGCAGGCTGACATTTGCATCCCCAAGCATAACCCAACCATGTTTATTCTCCCTGGCTCCCAGATAAGCTGCCAACTCATTCCTCACCTAGGAAATAGAGCCAAAAAAAAAAAAAAAAGAAAAAAAAAAAGGCAGAAAAGGAGAAACAAGGGGATCCAAACTCTTCTCCTACCTCTGAAACTTTGTATTCGCAGGTCAGCTTCTTGCCCCTGACACCTTCATTCAGAGTGAGGATGAAGCCCATGTAATCTGCGTATGCCTGCAAACACACCCGAGAGCGCAGGGTGTTAGTGAATACCCACGGTCTGTTTGAACAAGCACAGCGGCATGTGCTCCTGCACACCAAGGGAACCTTTCCCAACACACAACGCTGTTTTCTTGGAGACACCCCGGGTGCAGGGCTTGCCGTGAGGTTACTGCTATTTTTGGCAGACATCGGAGGCAGATGGCGATTGCACTAAGAAATCTGCATCGCTGTAAAAATTACAGAGAGGAGAGTCCTAAAAATGCTCGCCCTGCCCCCAAAAATCATTCCCTCAGCTCCCTGCCTCCTATCAGGTCAAATTCAAACTCCTCGGCTCTGCAGAGTCTCAGTTGTGCCTAGACATCCTGCTCTGCACTGCTTCTCCCAGACCTGTGCAGTTATCTCCCCCTTCCTCCTTCTACTCTTCTCCCATGCTCGTGCATGATGGAGAAGTGGGACACAGCCCAGGCTCCTCACTCCTCTTCTCTTTAAATTTGCTGCTTTTGAAGCATCATATCCAGTGCAGCTCTACATCTTTGAAAACACCAGACTAGCACACTGCCACCTCTCCTCCTTGGCCCCTTTTGCACAGAAATCCTGACCACGAGCAAGTCCTTAAACCCAGGAGACTTAACAAAGGAAGCTGCACTCAGAGGTTTGCTTGAGACCTGGCTATAACTAAAGCTTCTCTTTAGACATCACAGATCAGTCATCAAGCAAGAACTTGCTCCTAAGAGGTGGGACAAGTCTGGGCTAACACACCAATCCTTCAAAGGCAGAAAGAGGAGAACCTGCCTGTTCCACCAGCTCCACACATACTGTAAACACAAATTATCCAGGAAATTGAAAGCCTCGTCTCTAGAGCCCTTTCCAGTACAGCAAGGTGGGAAGGCCCCAGGAGCCAACCCAGCCTGGTGCTATTAGAGGGCCAGGCAGCAGGAGCATGTTCAAGCTGAGTTCTAACAGCGCTGGGTAAATCCAGTTTTGATATAACGTACAGGCTAGGTAGGATGAAATACTTACCAGCTTCTCGTCTAGCTTGTTGGGAGGGAGCAGTAATAATTTTTAAGCATCTCTGGTCTCCCTCAACCTCTGGGCTCTCCCTGGCTCACTCCTTTGTCGGAGCATTTGGCTGCCAGACTCCACACCTCACTGCCAAGTAATTTTCCTACAAACAGGCAGCGACTCTTCTCTTTAAAACACAAATCAATTAATTCCCCATTACTTGCCCAAACCTGCTTTACCTCGTGGCTGTTCCCAGACCAGACCTGGCTGCCACTGAAACATAATAAGCACTTACCAGTTTTCCCTGACCCCAGAGCCATACCTGAGAGCGTTTCCACTTGGCCATGTCGGAAACCATGTTTATCTCCTTTTTGGGGATCATGAAGCTCTGCTGGAGGGGAGGAGCCACCTCCTCAGAGGTGCCTGGGAGATGCAAAAAAGAGGTAAAATAGAGGCAGTGGAGAAGAAGAAATCCTCTATCTTCCTTTCTTAGAAATCAACATTCATTTCTCAGGAGACAGAAACCAAACAAATCCATCCCAGCTTGTGCCATTATCTCACCAAATCCTCCTACCAAACAATATCCTCCCGATCCCCAGATAATGTACTCCTAAAGACACTGCAAGGCTTCAGAAAGTGGCATTATGTTCGTTTTCACCACTAAAGATGCATTTCCCATCTGTACAGAGAGGCTGGTGCAGGAGATAACAAAGACAACATCCAACTTGTTTAATTATTTCTGTCTAGTGAAGACAAGCCTCAGGTCGTGCTGAAGCACTGAGCTCTCCTAACAAACTCACTGTGCCTTGTTTTTAGGGTGTTAAGCCTGAAATGCATTCCTCTAAAAAGGACAACTCCTGCAAAGACAAAGCTGGAGCAATTCAATAGATGGCAGTCCAGAGCCGCAGCCCCCCGGTCCAGGCAGCGCCAGGGCTTGGAGGATGCCAGGACACAGCCTCTTCCCAGGGGAAGCTATGAAGATCATTTAATTTTAAAGCTCTCTCAGAGCCCAGGATGTAATATTTAATGCAAATGCAAGTTGTTAATGCGTTAAAGGGGCTCTTTTCCCTGGCACCCGAACCAAGGACACAACCCTGCTGTAAGGGTGACCCCCACCCCACGCTCTCCAGAGCTCTGCTCTCAGCCAGCAGTCCCGCAACAGGACACTGCAGAGCCAGAAATGCTCCATGACGTTAGAGGTAATTTGCATTATGCTCCTAGAAGTGCAAATTTTAATAGCAAGAGGCAGTGCAGCAGACCACTATTAAGGAAACCGGGTGCTAATGTGAATTTATGAATTCTGTTAGAGTCACCCAGTTCATCTTTTTAATCCTAGAAAATCTGAAGGCATTTGTTCAGCACCAGCCACCCTGGCAACACCTCAGCGACTGCTCTCCACACTACAGCAAGTTCAGGCACTGGCTCCCTCACATACACCACCAAATTCCAAGTCCTTAAAATATTATTAGCTGCGTTTACATAGAAAATACTACCCAGAAGCATCAGCATCCTTTTCTGCAGCAGGCCACTGTCTAGCAGACAGACGAGGGAAAAAGGAATCCAAAGTCCCAGGAACCACGCAGAGCCTGCTATAGTCTTGTCACATAACCTTAGGAAGACATTTAACTTCTCTGCCTTTCAAGTTCCCCATCTACAGAACAAATGCAGTCTCATCCCCTGCTTAGGGGATCCTGCGCATAAGTTACAGTAAAACTTCCAGGTACAAGGATGAGAGGAACAACGCATGAGGAATTTAAACGAAAGATGTGTGCCTCTTCTGAAAATCCAGCACACAACTCACAATGACTAGCATCATAATGATGAAGCTCTTCTTTTAAAAGAACTTATAACATGAAAACAATGAAAAACTCCACAGCAGTGGTATAAAAAGGCAAACACTGACTTGTCCATTAATACAGATGATACATAAAGACCAGAGGTGCGGCCAGGGCGGCGTCCTGGACCCTGGGGGGGTCCAGGTGTTAGCCCACCTCTGGCTTGGCACAGAACTTGTTTCATCTCTTTGCATTTGTTTCTCAACCACCACTTCTTCTGGCACACACTTTGTGCATTTCCTCTTGGGGAGGAGACCAGAGGTACTCAAGGAAGGAAACACAGCGAGGGCTCCAGGGGTTACAATATTATAAAACGAATACACAAGCCAAAGCCCAAAACCAGCGATGTGATGGAGACAGGAGCAGAACGGGCTAGTTTTATGATGAGAAGCAACTTGGACAACGGAGACACTTTCAGTCTTACTCTCGTGGCGTGGGGAGGGGGAATCAAACTCAGCCGTGAGATGCACCTTCTGCACGGCAGACACCCCCCATCTCAGCACC